GGTACATACTGATTTTTGATAAAAGTAGGCTGTGATCTTTATATTTGAATTGCAATCAGGTTTTATCAAGATTCATCTTCCTGGAAGACATACAAACAAATAGAGGAATTAAACAAAAATCAGGGGAGTATCAGCCTATCAAAGAGCTTCTAACAGTATCTTAATAAGTAGAAATACAATATGACAGAATATGAACATTATATGAATTTTTATTTCAATTTATTCAAATGATGTAGCAATATTGTGTGAAGGGTATGCTTTATTTGGTTTTTTGAGATTTTATGGCAGCCTTACTGTACTTTGGGTATATTTTAAATGTTTAACTTAGTCTGCATTTGTTGAATCACTTTAAAAATGAGTTGATACCATAATTTAACATCAACATTCCTGCTGTCATCTCTCAAACAATGAATTGCCCTACAATCGTTTGCAAACCTCTTCTTTGCATGTCATTTATGTATGGACAATGTTTATCTTAAGACTAATTTTCCAGTGGTTTGCAGGTATCACAAACTTAATTTTAATGTAAAAGTTTAAGTGAAAAAAAACTTGATCAAACATGTCTTCATCATGCTAATCAATTTTTGTAAGAAATAATAATTAAAAATAATCAGTCCATGTGCAAGCTGCATTATGTGAGTGAGGACCTACAGTCCAGATAATCTTTTCAGATAGCAAATTACCAGCATTTCAACAACTTTCATAGGTACTGCCGCTAAATTTGGAAATTCAGTGAATAAATCTGCAATCCAATGTAGCATTTAGGTCAGCTGAAGTTTGGACAATTAATATAGTATCACAATACAGATTGTTACCCATGACTTACCAACAAATCACCAACAGATTACTGACTGTCTGCCAGATTACTATCTGTCAGCTGATAGTTGGCTAACAGGTGTGCTTATAACTGTTGTCTGGCAGTGGGGTGTCAGTAGGCTGACTTTGGATGGACAGGTGTTTTTCCACAGAGTACTTCACAATTACCAAGTAAAGAAAGAAGAAAGCAACTCAACCCATACCCTTCCAAAAAATTAATCTTGCATTAATAGCAATTGCCTATGTTTTTGTTTGGTATGCAAGAGAAATAGAGGGAAAATGCATGTTAAGTACATGTTTAGGATGAAAGTAATGTGACATTATGTTTTTTTTCTTATTTGTATGTTTTAGGACATTGAAAAGTCAAGGAAATCATAGCATTAGGGTTGTAGTGCAGTATTTTGATTTGACCACAGCTATTAGACTCACAGCTATACAATAATGTACTCCTATGGTACACTACCTTCTGTAATGTGATGTTTTGTTTTTTTGAAATTTTGTTGTAATTTCTTCAGTTCTTTTTTACTTAGTTCTAGATCACAGAAATGTTTTTAAAAGAAAAAATAGGCACATGTGTATCAACCATACATACTATTTATTTTTTAGACTATGCATTTCTGAGAAGCAATCCACATGTAGAGGCAATGTGCACTTGTATACAAGCTTTAGAGAATGGTGACTTTCAGCTGCTTGCTAAAATTGATAACATTCTGGTGAGTACTATTTACACTGCATTAATTTAAGACACTAAATGATGTTTAATGGGAGCAAATAATTAAATATTTTGTTCTTTTGAACTTTCAGCTGAACAAGAAAAAGTATATTGATCTGTGGTTGCAGGGAAGTGTGAACTTTAACACTGGTTTACTTCAGTCCTCTATCATAGACAAAGACATCCAGGGAAAAGATGTTGAAGAGCTTCCTTCATCAAACAGCTCAGGTTGCAGTAGTGAAAAGGACTTCTGTCAAAATGTCTCATTGTATAATTCTCCAGAGGAGAGTAACATTGAAATAACTGATGAATCAGTTCACCCTTCAGTTGGTTTGCAGGAAAACCAGCAATATTGCCCTGGGTCTGGCCATAACTGTTCATATTTACCGACAAACATAAATGATCAAACTCTTGAGCATCAATGTTTAAGAAGTGGATCCCATACAGAGCAGATAGTAAGAGAAAATGTCAAAGTAAATTGGTCTTCACAAACTTCTACAACTTTTGGACCCTTGAAAACAAGGGATAGTGTAAGAGCAACTTTAGCTTATGCAGCACTGTCTGCTGTAATGGAAAGTGATGAGGGTATTCCTTACACTGCAATGTGGTTGGATGCTACTGATGACAAAAAATCATGCAAAGTCAGAAGAGCAAGCACTGGTAGTCTTAACAAATTTTTTTTGCACTCTCAAAGTGACAAATTAATAAACAATGGGATGTTAGAAGCAGCCAACCTTGAAACTAACTCAGCAGGATCATGTGGCAAAAATGTTAACAGCTCTACTGAGTCTGTTACAGAATATCAAACTAGGAAAGCTATTGGACACAATAGGTCAAAGTCAGATCAGCTTGGTGTGACACAAATTCAGAAGCATGAGTTCATTAATGATCTGGCTCTAAGTGGTGGAAACAAGGAGAATTCCTGCAGTGATCTTAACAGATTGTCATCTTCACTTCCTGCTACATCAGGTGAGAATTTGAAGCAATTCTTCATTCTCGGCATGATGTTACCAATACCTTGTGGAACTATTCAATTTTTCTTGTAGAATCTCTGTACTGCATTGACCCATACATGGATGATCCTTATCAAGAAAAATCACTGGCAACACTTCTAGCATCACAGGATTTTAGTTCTTGTGAATTAGACAAGGTATTTGCCTGTAACAGCAACTGTTTTAAAATTTAATTTCATATAGCAAAAGATTCAAAAACAAAAGCAGAGAATGATATGCTAACATAGGAAAAGTTTATGTGACAGGCATAATAAACTGGACCACCTATCAGTGATGAAAAGATGATAAAGAGCTGGCTGCCAGATACAGTGAAAACCCATTTAGAAAAAACTGTTTTTGCATTTTTCTGTAAATCTACCAAACATATACCTGCATTCAAAGTGACAGAAATTATTGCCAACAAGCCTTTCCAGCAACTCTGAAAATTTTTTTGTGGGATCACATATATGACACAATTTATTTAATAACCAAAATTTGTTGTCTGCATATCCTTTTTTTAAAAAAAATCTTGATATTGGCCAAGCAATGAATGAAATCCATATTTCTATTTTCCACTTCTTCACTGGTGTGGTTATGGCTGTGATTTGTCTTCATTTCAATGTGTTCTTTTACAGGAGAATGCCCATTTTAGTATATCTGAAGCACTGATTGCAGCAATTGAACAGGTGTGAAGTCACTTAATATGTGCAACTTCTTTATTTCACTATTTCATATTCATATTTTAATACCTTATAGAAGTCACGGCCTTAATAAGTTAAACAAATTGTATCTTTCTACATGTTTAGGAATGTTGTATTTCATATAAACAGTGTAGTGTACTGTGGTAGTGTCTAAATACATTCATTAAACAAAAGTTGGCAAAATCTTTCACCATGAGTTTTTAAAGGAGATGCATACTCTAAAAAGCAATTTTTATTGCCACTTTTAAAATGTACAGGTATGTTTAAATTCTTTTAAACTAAGCATGTTTTTAGACTCCAAAAAGTAAGCCCACTTTTTTTAAAAATTCTTCAAAATATTCAACTACAAATACCATTTTGTGCACTGCTTTGTAATTTGCGTACCAATCTGTGAAATCTTCCCTGGCCCAGTTGTTGAAAGGGAGGATATTGCTAACCAACAGATAAATCACTATCCAGCAGATGACTGTAAACTAAACATACTGGACCATCCACCACATAGGGATTCATCCAGTGGATAAAGTTATCCACCATTTGAAAAAAGCAGAACCAGTTCTTGTACATGTTAGTTTTGGATGTGTATAGCTAAGATACAGAGTTTTTGTTGTTGGTGGTTGTTTTTAAAATGGCGTCCTAAGGATAGGACTTAAACTTATTTGAAGACAGTATTTTAACAGTTAGCTTGTACATTGTTTTGAATGGTTGGAATTAAAATCATACATGTACATGGTTTGGAGAGTATAATTCTTCAACATGATGATGCTTTCTTAATCTGGGTGTCCTAGAGTTTTCTTGATTTGAATGAATTTATGTTGTGTATTATCTCTAGTATATTGTGAAATGAAAATTTTATTGAATGAGAACCTGGTCACTTGACTGAATTTCTTACAGATGAAGTGTGATGCTGTCAATGCATCAGAGGAGGAGGAGGAGGAGGAGGAGGAGGATGAAGAAATCCTTTACTTGAAGAAAGAACTTGAGAGAAAGAGGTGGGAGAAAAGGCAAAGAAAAAATTTGCAAGAACAGGCTGCCTTTAGTGATGAAGCCACCCAATCTACAGCCTCTGAACCCAGCATGCAGACAAACTCTTCAAGTGAGTCATTATAATAGAAAAAAAAAAAACAGAAGTACCCAAAGATTAAATTCAATTACGAGTCAATACTCCTTTCTCAGCAATACAAGATTCTACGATTCCCATAAATTTTACAAAGTGTTATTGAATTGAAACAACAAAATTAAAGTTCATGGAGGAGAAATGCTACAATTCAGCACTGACCAGAACGATGGTTAGATATGCATCTTGAGTACTGCAGTATTGGTTGAATCCTGTTTATTACTTGGCAGCACATATATGTGTATATCTTGAACTTGCAATTATAGTTTTATGAGCTACATGTATTTGTATTAGTATAAGTAAAAACATTATTTTGAGTGTAATTTGGTGTTAATAAGCACAAGTAAATTTTTCAAAGCCATTAAAATTGCATGAGCCCATAGGGCAAGTGCAATTTATAGTCTTTAAGAATTTCAAGGGCTTATTTACACCAAATGGCACTTGGGTTACAAGTTTGCATTTGTGTTGCATGAAATATAATTTAGTGTGCAAACGTTACCAGACACTTGGCTTCTGTAAGAGGATCTCAAAAAATAAAGTATCCTGTCCAGAATTTTCAAGTGATGTATATGCATAGTGAACAAGAATCATGAATGGACCTGACTGTTCTAGCTTATTTTAATTCAGCTAAAATTTTTCAGAACTTAGAATAACTAATGATTAACTGTAAGGAAAAAGATTCTTTGAGCTGGTGATTGATTTTGTTTGTGTGGGACCTGACATCAAACACATTACTTCTATTATCTTTGATACTGTACTGTAATTATAAAAAAAGCTCATGTGATATGGAAGAATTACTGCTTGTCAAAGCAGTACAGTGATCTATTAGCATTAAAATAATATGGAGAATTGATTGAACAAGGAGAGAAGAGGGTTTCATTTCTTTGTATTTCTTGGTGTTTAGTTTCCTATTGAAAGATTTTTTCAAATGAATCAAGAAACTGTTTTGGATTGGGGTATTCTTTTGAGTGAATATTAAAGTGCCTGGCTTCTAAGCAACAAAAATATATTTGACATTTGAGTTAACAAAAAAATATATGTGAAGTTTGAGTTATCTGGGTTCAAGCACTCTCCCTTTGTAAAAAGGTTGTGTGTTAAAAAAGTTTGTCTCAATGGTACCCATTTTGAATAATTGTCCCAAAAAAAATGTACTGACTTTATTAAACATGTCACTACTAATTGTTTTTACTTTAACAGCAAATCAAAGTGTTTTGTCTCATTTAGGGTCTGTATTTGACAGTGAAGATGAGCTCAGTACTGAGTGGGAAGAACTAAGTCCAACAGATGAACAATTACAGGAAAACAATGAATTCCGTACATCCAATGCTACACCCTCTTATCCTAGCTCTGTGACAGACACTGTATTAGACTCAGTGCATAATCCAAATTCCAAGCTGCACTATACCCAGTTGTCTGCTGAAGCAGTAGCCAAAAGCTTGTTGCAGAAGTTTGCCAACCAAAAACACCCAGCAGCATGGGAACTGCAATGGTTAGTATCATTTCAAGATGCTCCTCAGTCCTTGCTTCCTCTACCAGATACTGTGGCTGTGGCACCAGATGATATCCTTCAAGTTGAGGCACTAGAGAATAAACTAATGTCCAGACAAAACTCATTGCCAGTGAGTACTAAATCATCCATAACTAAGGTGTCATTTTAAGACAAAGGTTTGATCAAGGCTCGTTAAGGAAACCAAGATAATAATATGGAGGAATGAGGGTTGAAATGGAGTAGTAATGAAATAGCAATTCTGTCCATTATGTTGTGAATAAGAAGTTACCAATAGAAAATTTTCTTGTGCACTGTATAGTGATCTACCCTCTATATTATTATGTATGTCGACATGTATGTAAGAACAAGTGGTTGATTAACATGGTTGTTAAAAAACAATGCATCTTTCAATTTCAGAGCCGTATTCGGGGAAACTCAGAATGGGCCCCTCCACGAGCACAGATTATTTTTCATACTCATAAACCACCTAGGTATGTGTCCTACATATTGAACAGTTTGGAGTGTTACCTATTTGTGAGATGAGCAAGCCATTTAGGCCTGTATGATATGGGATTTATTACAGCCAACTTGGTGCTACATGCCTGGTTAGCTTTACCATCTAATATCCAACACAAACTCAAAGAGTAACTTTTAAATAGTCAAAAACTAGGTGATCTGTGTTAAATTAGCATTGCAGTAAATTTTTGTGATGGAATAGTTTCTTTAGGCAACCAGTAATATTTTTAGACATTTAAAAGAATGGACTAGCTTTAATTGAGTTTCAGTTGTTTATTTAATAATACTCCACACTGTGTTTGGCAAATTCAAATATTGCTAAGATTCTTCCTGTCATCTAAGCTCTTCATATGGTTTTACAATCATAAGCTAAATATGTATGTCAAGAAAGAAAAGAAATTCCACAGATTGAAGGGTAAATATTGTATGAAGAAATTAAAGAATGTGTAAATACAGGGTTTTGCTTGATAATAAGGTTGTCAAAAAACGAACCAAATTCCAACTTCAGGCTGCTGCAGCATGTCTCGTGGGCAAATTTTCAGCTCTTGTAAATTTGAAGTAAAAAAGAAGCCAATGCCTTTATTAAGTTGCATCAGAAAATTATTTAGGAAAAGTGGTTCTTTATTTTGGACCAAAGAGAGATAAATTCAAGATTCCATTGTGGATTTATGGTCTTAAAAGCCTTACAGATCAGTGCATCTTTCTTTCTTTCAAAAACTGTGTTTCAATTACGTAAAATTAATTGTGTGCTTGGAAGGCAAGGGCTGATTATTATGATTGATAGACCAAGGTAACTAATTTGTGCCCAAATTTCAGGAGAAAAGAATGTATGAGACAGCAAAACTTCAGATGTGCTGGTTGTGGTATGGCAGTCTCTCCAGGCAAGTTGTTAAAAAGCATTATTTATTAAGTTCTTTTTAGTATCTACAGAAAAAAAGACTTTTTCTTTATATCTTAATTATATCAGTAAGCCACTTAGGAGCCCTTACCAGAATCTTGGTCCTGAATTTGGCAAAATTTGCTCTGATGAAGGGCTAATGCTTCAAGCATCAGCTTTCAAACTCATTACAGTGGCAAGTTTGTTATCAATTCCTATATGCTAGTATACATGCATTTTGTTCATTTTTTACAGCCTCTTCATTAATTTCTCAGAGTTATGACAGAGAAAATTTCAAAATACTGCAGATTCCCTTATTTGATATTTAGACCACAAGTGCTTGTCTCCTTACTATTTTCAGTTACTGTTTTCATATATTTTGTTTGAATTTTTTGATTGACAACCTTTTTCTGTTGGGGTTTACAATATACTTCAGTCATTGACTTTGCTGGAGAACATGTGGACTCTACTGGAAACAATTGTGAGACTGAGAAAAATTATTTTTCTAATAAATTGATGTAACATATACCTCATGTCCCTGTAGTGGACACAAAGTCCTTGTTTGCAGAGTTCTTGCTGCTTATCAGTAGTTTGGATTTACATGTATTTTAAATAAGCAGTGGTTTTTTCCCTTTAGATTACATGAGGCGATTTCGGTACTGCCACTACCTGGGAAAATATTTTTGTAGTACTTGTCATAACAATGTATTGGAAGTGATCCCTGCTAGAGTCTTAAGAAAATGGGACTTCGCCAAATATCCTTTCCATCTGAAATATAATTTAAGTACTTTTTCTTATTATGTTAGGATGAAGAGTTAATTAATTGGTATTTAAATGTTTCTTAAGCCACTTATTTATACAGAAGTTCCAGCAGCACCGTTTAATGATTTTATTTAGCCATTCTATATCATGTGGGAACACTTCATTGAGGTTTGGTATAGACAAAGTAATCTGACTAAACAATATGTATTTTGCATTTCAAGCTTGTATGCCCTTTTTTGCAAAGAATATTGGAATCAATTCATTATTTTGTCAAAATACACTTTGGAAATTTTGATTGTGCTTAATCTTGTTCACAAAATCAAGGAGTCTTCCTTTTCCATCAAGAAAATTTTCAACCTTTGCTCAAGAAGGAAATAACACTGGAGAGGTTTTTTTGTATTCAAATCTGTACTGATCCACATGCTTGTACACAGACATTTTAAGTCTAACTAAACATAATTTGGAAACACTAAAAGCCTTGTTCAAATGGTCATGATAGCTGATGGTAGTTTCAACTATTGTGCTTGTTTGAATGTGAACTATCATGCACTAACATTCACTACCATCAATTATCATCAACTATCATGTAGTTTGGACATGTTAAATTTGACATGATAATTGATGATAGTTTTTGCCATTTGAATGAGTGGATGATAGTTTTTTGGTCAGTAGTTTTGCCAAAAAAAGGGCTCAAACAATAAAAAGTAGCCACCAAAAATTCGCAGAATGTAGTAAGTACATTTCCAACTGTTTGGGGTATAGGAATATCACAATTTTAAGAGGGGTTCCAAATAAACTGATTACACAATAAGTGTTTACACTGGTAGGTTCAACTGCACTTTCTCTCACCCTTTCTCAGATAATTATGTTCCTGTTGTATCATGCATATGTGATATAGCCTTGTTGATTTTATGACACAGTTTTGTTTATTCCACAAACTTTTGTTCATTCATTGGTTTCAAGTGTTGCATGGTTACAGCAATGAGTGTCTTTATAATGGTACCCATTCACCTCGCCACCAAAGTGTAATCAATCTTGTCACTAAACATAATGATCCAGTAGCAATCGATGTAATTGTATTAAGTGTAGCTAGAGGATGTTGGATTAAACAAATATAGGTTTGCTTGAGCTTGTTGTTATCAGGTAAAAAATTAACAGGATCTCCTTGTGAGCTTTAAAAGCAGTCTTGTTTTGTTGATGAAAAAGTGCATGCCATCACTGACATTTCTTGTCGATCTTGTTATTCATTTGTTCAAGTAGAAAGTTACAGTCAATTTGGCTTACCTTTCCTTTCATGAACACTCTAAATATTCTCAGGCTAGAATTCATCATTCAGTAGTCTGTTTGATATCTTCTTTAGTCAGATCAAACTGGTGGCTTTTTATTGTTTCTGCCATCTCAAAAAGAACTACTGAGCCTTCAGCACAGTTTTGCAGTATTCCTCGATCATGGGATTCTAATGGCAATGTTTGCAAGACTCCAGATGAAACTTAAGAGTCACTTATAGCTTTGAATTTATACCAAATTAGCTAGCGACCTTGGTGGCCAGTTTACTGGTGGCAACTTGGTGGTGGCAAGATTGCCTTGGTGGCAAGCTCACTGGTGGCAGGATGACTGTGTACCTTAATAATGAGTGTCTTTATATTGATGAGTTTTCATCAACAGGTTAATCATGTACAATGTTCACTAGATTTCTAATCCTGTCAATGTTGCAGACCAAATGTGTAATTTATTTACTATGTGACAATGTGTGTACACAGTAACAAAAGATTGTGATTAATCAGGTAGCTCTGAACTCAAGATGTAGTTTAAATCTATAAATTTTGTCAGCTTTTGAAACCATTCTCCTCTTTTACCTATGTTTACTGCTGTTTCACTGGGTTTCCATAACTTGACATCAGATATGAGGTGTCTAATTTTGCACGTGACTTACTGCACAGGATATGCTTTGATCCTTTGTTTAATCTGATGGATCTCAATCCCTCATTATACAAGCGTATTCGAGTTCTAGAACGATTGAAGGTAATTTGGTTCACACTAATGATCTATTTTTTTCTTTATGTATATCGTGCCTGATGCAATATTTTATCTCTTGTCAGGATGTTCGTAGACGACTTCACTTTTTCAAGTCCTTTATTCAAACATGCCGTAAAGCTGAAGAGTAAGGGTCATTCTTTAAAAGAATCATAAGATACTAGAAACTTTGGCTCATCTCTAAGAGGGTAAAACAAATTACTAGCATTGGTTATGAGCAGGGTGCAGAATGTTGAAGATGCTGGCAATCCCAGTATTTCTTTCATGTGTATTTTGTATTTGTTCTTGGTTAAATACTGAGTTTGTGGTTCAAGCACAAATCAAGTATGGCTGGGAAAACTGAGGGTTTTCATTAAGTGTTATATGAGTACTGAAGATGTGACTATAGTTGGGTTGTAATCAATTATGTCAAATAATTTTTTTATAAGAATCTGCAAACTTTTCTATCCATGTATGTATGTATATGTGTGGGATTGATGACTACAGAAGTTGCCTTCTGCACATCATGTGGATGGTATGAGAAAGTTGTAAAACACTTTCTGTTTGTATGTCCTATGAATTTTCCACTTGCACAGTCCAACTGCAGAAGCCATTTGCCTTGAAGTGACCAGTGAAGACTACTACTAACAAAGTCTAATTGAAGCATACAGGGAAATATAGTACCTTGGTGGTTTATTCATGAACTTTGCTGCCTTTGCTCCTTACTGTCATGATCTTGGTTTACCCCATCAGGGCCTGCATGCTTAGTTGTAGTAAGAAGAAAATGTATCACTTGGCAGCGTTTCAATACTAATAATGCATCTGTTTTTCTTCCTTTCCACCAACTTTTCTGTTTATTTGTAACTCCAAAATTGTATCTCAGATTCTTTGAATTTGTCTTGGCAGATTAGCTGAAGAGTTCAACAAGATTCCAGATCATATTTGTGGAGAGCCTCATGTTTATTCCCTACACGACCTTTTGCAGGTGATTTGAATGTGTTTTAAAGAACATGTAAGAGTGGAGTCCACTTAGAGGTCCTACATGGTGATGTAGCCGATTATGTATGTTTCAGTATAAAGAACAAAAACGAATTGGTTTTTATGATGAATTCATCAACAATGGTTGACCTTGGAAGCTTGTGCATGGGTTAGGAGCATGGAAAACAGAAGCACATTGATCATGGCAGTCATGGGAGCTTCTGTCATACTGGCAACTCTATTCCCAAATATGGAATGCACCCAAATAATTTACGGTTAATGAACTTGTATTGTGCAATATTTTAACAGAGTTGCTAGGAATAATTATTGTGTGGTATCGGTGCATGTAGTTTTTACAATTCATTCTTAATGAATTTAGCTTTGCTTATTAAAGTTTGATGATATAAATAACTGTTTGGCAGAGTAGCATAATGAAACTTAGTGTCGGCTTTCATAATGCCTATAAGTTTTATTTTGGCAATAGTAGAAGACTGAACAGTGATGGAAGTACTGTCAAAAGGACCAGTTCTCAAATGGGCAAACAATTGAAAACTGCATGAGTCTCCTGAAATGGAGGAAAAAGCTCTTTCCTTTCTCCAAAGGTTTGAAGACAATTTAAGCAGATCCAGGTCTAGAGATCAGAAAATTCTTTAGAAAGTGACGTTATTCAAAGGTGTTCTCAAGAAGTGGGAAAACCAACTAGAGAAACTGGAGGAACATTGCAAACCTAGAGTGAACAAACTCGTTGCAGCTACTCAGTACAAGGTTGTTACACAAGTTGACATGCAAAATAAAAAACAGCACAAAATAGAGACAAGTCACAGAAGCATGTGAATGGCCAGAAGATGAGAAAGACATCACACTCAGAAATGCAATTCTCCTTGGGCTCTGGTGTATTAAAAGTGTTTGGAAGAAAACTAGGATATGCTTGAGGTGGAACAGGTCATTGTGATTGCTACAGACATCTACAACAGTGATTCTCAGAGATCATAATGCCAACTCTCAGTATGGTGTCAACAGCAGTCACAGCCACACAGCAAAGATCAAGTGAAGTTCACAATCTGCAAGAAAACCAATAGGTCAGGAAAACCATGTAAGGATAACACAATGAAGATGCTCCAAAAAGAATGGACTTGGAGAGAAAGTAATCCTTCCAAAAGCTAAGTAGAGCTAAACCTGCTCATCTCAGATCTAAGCGTCCAGCCAGAGATGTGTTATGTCACAACTGTAGAAAAAGAGGCAGTACATGAAGTGTTGCAAAGCCAAGGCAAAACCAAGTAAGAAACAATCCAAGCCAGTTATCAGCCAACTCCACACCACTGGAACTGCTAGAATAACACTAGAATTAACCAACAGTTTCACCATTTACAAAGTTATCACATCAAGAGCATTAATGCCCTTTTAAGCAGGCGCGTCAAGCCACTCTGGTTGAGCTCAGCTGATAGGGAACTTATTTGCGATGTTGAATGTGAGATCAACTTGAGTGCTGGGGAAAATGTGTATGTGTAATTTTTTTGGAGTTGAGGAACTCATATCTCTTTCAGTCCAAATCTTAGGATATAGAGATGTGGTCAAAGGCTTTGATTGCCAGAGTGTAAGTAGCACATTCAGGTCAAGCCTGATGCTTAGGTGGTGCAGTACCTGTCCAGGGCAGTATGCAAGAAGAAAAAACAGGCTTACAAAGGCAAGCTAGAGAGATTTTGTAGCTTAGGAATTATCAACCCTTTGAGGGATGTGGATGAATGGAAAAAAGGTCAATCTGAAGAAACTGCTGTTCAAGTCAACCAAATGTACATTTTTAGGCCACATCTTGACACTCAAAGGTAGGAAGACTTACAGTAGAAAAGTGGATGCCATAAAGCAAATGAGTGCACTGAACAAAAAGAAGTGTCTTTAGAGTTTTCAAGGCATGACCAATTATTAGAAATGTTTTTCTCTCAATTTGATAAAGCTCTCTAAGCTCTTTAAGCCTCTTCTCAGATAGAAAGTTGAATGGAGGTCTATGAAGAGTGGAAGCCTTTGTGGTAATGGAAGACAAACTAGGAAAGACCCCAGTGCTTGCATATTTCAACTCTAAAGCTGTACTTGTCATTCAGACAGATACATCTTTGAAAGGTTTGAGAGCAGTGCTGCAACGGGAAGGTAGACCAGTAATCTTAGTATTATAAACTGACTCCTGCTGAGTAGCCCTATTCCAACAGTGAGAGAGAACTATTATGAGTAGTGTTTCCTATGAAGAGACTGCTCAATTATGTGTTTGGTGAACTGATTTGAGTTCAAATAGATAACAAACCATTGGAGGCTATTTGGAGGAACAATATCTTTAATGCAAGTTCAAGACTTCAAAGGTCACTTCCAAGGCTTGCTCTGAATGAAATCCATGTGGAGAACATCAAGAAATGTGCTCACTCAACTAAAATACCTCTCTGGCTGGAAACTACACCCATAGTTTGGCAAACTTGAAGCCAAAAGTAAAGAAACATTCTAAAAGTACTTTCATAAAACCTTATTTAACTCTCTAATTGAGTGAAAAATAATTGAGATGCAACTGATAAAGCCGTTTCATGGCAGTTTTGTCAACTATGGTATATTCAACAAATCAGTCACCATATTCTTCTTCTCTTATTTCACACAAAACAAAATTGTACCGTTCATAAAAGAGGGTTGTAGCTTAAAATGCAAACTTGGAGTTAAGATCTCAAAAAAAAAAGTTATGCTATAAAAACTGGGTAAAATATTTTTTTTTGTCTTCATATTTTTAGTTTCGTACCAATGTTCTGATATTTGGAGTACCACAACCACTGCAGTGACTTCCATCATTCAAACTAATACTTTTTAATAAACAAATATCACCTGAGACTGATGCCAAAGACCTAGGTGTTTAGCTGGATGCAAACCTCAGTTATAACAAAGATATTACTAAGAGTGTTTCAAACTGTCTTTTTAAGTTAAAACAAATCAGTAGAATTAAGCATCTTATAAATAGGAAAATGCTGTTGCCTTGGTTTTTAGCAAATTATTATCTTGCTCAAGCATCTGGAGCAATACCAGCAATATCAGCATTGACAAATAAGAAAAAGTTCAAAACTTAGCCTGACAAATTGTTCTGGGGCCTAGAAAAAATGATTGTATTTCTGTAGGACTAAGGCTCCTTTTTAAAGATGTACTTAAATTGACTGATGCAGCTATGATTTTCAAGTGCACTAATAATCTCCCCGGATTACCTTGCAAATAAGTCTAGGCTACATTCTTGTGTTCATGACAGGCAAACTCAATTAGCTAGTACCTTGGATATACTTTTTGCCACCTTTGAGCTGGTCAGAGGTCTCTTGCTTATAGAGGAGCAAAACTGTAGAACTCATTAAGCAGCAATCTTAAGTGTTTAAAATGTTCCAAGAAATTTAAGCATTGATTTACTAAGCTGTTATTAGGTTAACTTCATTATTCATTATTTTTATTCTAATATATATATTTAGCTGTAACGATAGTCTTATATTCTTTAATTTGTTTTCTTTCTTTTAACCATTTGTATTGATGCTGAAAAACCCATTTAGGGAGTTTCAATAAAGATCTGTATCTGTAATGTAGAAGGCATGCTTGAATTTCTTCCAATAAGCATGCTGATCAACAGGACACTAATATATAAAGGGTATGCTTTCTCAAAAACAGTTGATTTTTTTGTTGTGGGTCTGTGACATTTTCCTTTGACAGCATCAGAAGAGTTGCACTCACATTGAACTTGAACTGATTTAGTTAAACAAGAGGAAAACAACATTGAGTCATTAAATGTTCAATTGTAGCAGCCTAAAGACCTAAAGAATAGTATTGAGTGCCCTTAAAAAGCTAAAATGACCAGCAGGTTCATCATTAAGATATACTTTTTTTCAAGTGTTTGGTAACAATACAATTAGAATGAAACTATTTTATTTTTATTTAATTGGTCTGTATCTTGCAGGTGCATGATGGGGACTTGCACCAATTTTTGAATAAGTTAGCAGTAGAATCTCTTAATCACATCAATCATTGTCAGGTATGACAAATAATAAGGCAAGTTGTATTGGTAAAAAACGCTCTTATCTGATTGGTATTTTAAGTGCTCTTATCTACCAAGCTTCATTTGGTTCATACAGGGCCAAACTGTGTAATACCAATTCTTATTAAAGTAACGACTTCCTGTGGCAACCATTTTAACCTTAAACATGCCCAACTGGCTCTAGTAAGAACTTTTAAAGTGTGCAAACCAATGTAAATTTGATTTGAGAATTTAGCTTCATGAAAGTCGTTGCTTGATTTCCTTTCTATTCTGCACTAACTTATTTGCTTTTTGCTATGTGAAAAGTTCAATCCAAGGGTTATGTGTAGATGGCACACTTTGTTAGGACTGTTCACCTTACATTACTCAGCTAAGACAATCAAGTCAGTCAATTTGTTGTCTACAAGTACTTCCTATGAGACCCCTTTCTCACTAGTTAAGAGTGTCTCTAAAATCACAATTGCCTTTGATGTAGATAAAGAACCTGTGTTAGAGATGTTGGTTAATTTGAGTTTCATAATCTCTGTGATTTCATTAACTGATGTTGTTTACCCTGTGTGCTTATCCCTCTTGAGGAAAGTACATAGGTCTTCTACTTGTATTGTCTCATCCCAAATCATATAGAACTCAACCTTTCATGTTTAATGGCTGACATTTTTGTTGCTGTGTACACAATCCCCGGGTGACTTGCCCTTGTAGTTGGAAGTGATAATTTGAAATTTTGCCAAAGACTTTTCAAATTTGTTGCATTTGAAGACAGAGTATGAAGTGAACATGTTTTTAGGTGGTTCAGATTTGTGGAAAAATTCAGGCTGAATTCAAACCAGTGACTATCCTGCAAGGACATTTCAGCATTCTAACCCGTGACCTATCAAGCAAAATGGGAATTGGTTGTGGTTTACTAAAACAACCTTGTTTTATGATACCCATGTCCATTTATGGTTCCTGTTATGACATTAAAGGGGTTAAAAAGAATATTCAATACATACTCCCGATATTGTGCCAACTATATGCATTCAAATGGAAGCTTATATTTCACACATATATATGTGTGAAGTTGCATGGAGCACTGGCCAGCAAACTTCTGTATTTTTCACATATTCATATTCTACAGGTTGTTACAAGGTTAAGGTGTTTTCATATTTTATAGTTCTCTAGCCTCTTAACTGCAGTTCACCACTAAGTTTTTTTTGTCTTTTCTTTTTTCAACTTTGTACAGCTGTGTCTTGCCAAAGGATTTATCTGTGAATATTGCAAGGATGGGAAAGATGTCATATTTCCTTTTATGCTGAACAGAGTTGTGCAATGTTTAGGTGCATTACTGTCCTATAATTTTTTAAACAGAGGCTTGGACTGTTAAAATGTTATTTGCTATTTATCCAAAGTTGAGGTCACTGCTGTTATTCCCTGTCTCAGAAGGAAGCACCCTGTGTCATAGTTTAGATTGTTAAGTATTGAGTGGATGGGTATTCAAATTAAAGCTCCATAGGTAGTTCTGCAAAAAGTTTCCTATTATAGTGAATGCCCTGTTCAATATGGACACAATTTACAAGGCATTGCTTAAAAGACAGTATCCATTGATCCAAATACTGCTTGAGTGTATTCACAGATTTCTTTACAATTATTCAGATGAAACCAGGTTGTGGTGGTGCTAGTGCTAATGTATTATGCTCTTTGTAGTTTGAAAGCTTCATTCAATTATTTTTGTGTGGTCTTCTTGTTTGCTAATGATTGTTAGACCTCTTAAATCATTGCTCTACATAGGCTGTCGGGCATCATTTCACAAGGAATGTTTTGTTGAAGGCAAATGCCCAAAATGTGAAAGAATACGTGTAAGGTAAAGTACATGTTATTGATCTTTGTTGTAGATTCATAATTGTTTTTAGTAATGTGGTGCAGTTTTTAGGACTTTTTACTCAAAAACCTACTATCAGTGTTGATTGAAATGGCACCAGAGAGTCAAATTAAACATAGCCAAATGAATAAAGGGGGCAAGATTCTAAAGAAATTGTGGTGCTGCCTCAGTGGGGAAGTATAACAAGATAATTGGGTATTATCAACTGTTGATCATGTAAATTAGTCACTGTAAAGAGTTTTTAAGCTGACATTTCAGGGGTTAGCCCTTTGCTCTTACAAAGGACTAATGCAAGATTGAGTGAATAATTTTCCCAAGTTTTACTTAATTCCAGTCACAACAACAAACTGTGCATGACACATATTAGGTTTCCTTTGATCAAGGAAGTTGCAGTATTAACTTTGTTACAATGAGTGGCTAAAGTACTAGCACACTCTACTACTTTTTTTTCATTGATCTCCCCTCTCCTCCATTTTCAATGTTGTTTGGTGAAAACAAAATGGTCTCTGATTTATTTCAACATTGTTTTAGGGGAAGGGGGGGCTTTCAAGTTAAATATTAGGAATAAATTACAGGTCTGGATTTCTGTTTATTATGTTGAGTGGGGGGTTGTTAACCACCTACTTAGGGGAGGCATGAGATATGATCCTTCTAAAAACAAGTATGTCACTTGGAGGTATTGAACAAGTGATACTCAGCTTCTAAACCAACTTTACAGAGACCAGCATGGTTTGTGAGGTTTTACCTAAGGAGGTTTTAGTTAGTTACTTACTTTCTTACCCACTAACATACTTACTTTTTTTACCAACACACCGGTTAGCTTTACTAGTTATGGTCATTAAACTTGAAAACTGGAAAGGCAACCTGATAATGTTGTTCCTAGAATGTTTTCAACATATTCAAGTAATCCCCTTTGAACCATCATAACTTATGGAATAACGAACCAAAATTGTTACTGCCCAAGGATTGCCTAATTTTCCCCTGTTCAAAAAAACCCTTCTAGACCATAAAGCAAATTATTTTGGCATTCTGGATTTAATGTGAATATGTACGTATGCCAAGCCCTTTTCTTTTCACCAGTACTCACTTAAACATTGAAATTTCTAGTCTAACACTTCATCTATCTTCATCAGGAAACAAGTGTTATCTGAAGCTGTCTCTCCAGAGGAAGAACAGATCTTAGAATATTAGCCTTACAGATTTGTCTAGTCTGTAGATAGTTGAGATCAGTGTCAAATCAAAAATGATAATATACAAATTCAGTAAGGGCTAAAACCCCTTGAGGATGATCGCTTTTGACATGTTTGACTGATTATTGACTGATTAGATTATTCAAGCAACTATAAGCCGTATCAATAAGCAGAAATGCGGGGAAAGTTAGTTTAAAAAACCATTTTGGTGTCCCTTTGCAATTGGGGCTGAAAGAATTTTACTCATGAAAAAGCAATTTATTTCATAATGCAACCGTAAGAAGTACACTTGGTTTTTTCATCCTGCAAATGGTATGACAGGATTTAATACATCACGCAATTAAAAAATGCAAACTAACAAACAGCAAATGTTCTGATCTAGTTTTCTTTTTATGAAGTCTTACTTTTCTACACATGTAACTTATTCTACCCTGTACTTCTCAGAGTTCTCGCATAGGTAATCTTATTCTTTAAAATTATTTTTCCTATATTTCCTTGAAAAATGAGTCAAAATAAATTTTTATCAGTTTTTATAGAAAAAAAAAGAAACCCTAATTGAAAGTACAGATTGGGGAACTTACAAAATATATTTTAAATGCCAGTTTTCTCACTCGGGAGGGAAGTGTAGGGGTGTATAAAGTAATTAAAAACATTTACATCTGAATCAGAAAATTTTTCAAGGAAAAAACTTGTAATTTTTCTACAACACGGACAAATCAATAAATAGTTTTTTCGTACATAAGCATCTCAAGTTTGAATTTTTTTTAGTTCAACATTAAACAAATGTTTGCTAGTTATCCTCGACTTGGGGTTTTTGGACGATCAACTCCTGTTTGCATTGTTTTAAAACAACTTGCAAGGCTGCTATATTCAATCAATAGTTCAAGTGGGCACATTTTTTATTAAAATGAATGGACTGTTATATTAGTGAGTAGTGATCGCATCATTGTTGAGCTTGTATATCTGCTTGGACTTGCAAGAACATGCCCTGTGTGTTGTAAAATTGCAAGTGAAGTTCATGCCCTGCCATCGCTTAGCAAGTGGGTGAATACCATCGAACCATTTACTTAGCTACCTCACTGTAACCGATTGGACCATTTAAACGAGTTGTACCATTTTATTCAGTATGATCATTTTTAACCCATTACCCTCTTTTAACGAGTTTAGCCACTTTTTTTAATTAGACCGTTTGAACTGGTTAGACCATTTAAAACTCATTTTCCCAATTGGACCATGTCAACAAGTTGGACCATTTACCGATTTAGACCATTTTATGCAATTGGACCATTCTAACTGGTTTGACCAATTTAACCAGTTCAATCATTTTAAACCATTTAAAAGTGGTTGGATCATTTTACATGGTAAGATCATTTTGAATGATTGGACCATGTATACGAATTGGACCATTTTCGCTGGTTAGACGATTTCTACCGGCTTGACCACTTTTATCTTTTTAGACTTTCAATTGTTTGGACTATTTTAGCTAGTTACACCATTCTTAACCATGGACCATTTTGGCAGGCTGCGTTATTTTAACCAGTCAGATTATTTTCTTAGACAAACCATCTTCCAGTTAGGCCATCTTCCAGTTAGGCCATTTTAACCAATTGTGTTCTTTCTGTTGTTAGACAATTTTACCTGATTAAATGATTATAACTAGCTCGACTATTTTATCTAGTCAGGCTTACCAACGTAACCCCTTGGACTATGTTAAGCAGTTGGAACATTTTATCTATTAATATGGTTTTAACCGAGTAAACCATTTAACATCTTCCACTGATTTGTTTATGTGGACCATTTCTGCTATTTGAACCATGTTACCTACTTGGACCATTTTGAACGATTGAACCATTTTATCCAGTTAAACCATTTTAAGCAGTTGCCCCACTTTAACCAATGGGCGCATTTTAGCAGTTGAACCATCTTATCTAGTCAGATCAATTTAAGGGGTTGGACCACTTTATCTATTTGAACTATTTATCTATATGGATCATTTTACGCCCGATAATTTCTACCTATTTGGTTCTATTCAAATGTTTCTTTATAAACCCTGGTTTCCCGCTGCAGTAAAATGTACCGTGAACCAATCAAATGACGTGCGTGATTGGTGCCAGTACAGGTTTAAATGGGTAAGTCTGGCCAATTATATCTCCTAAACAAATCTTTTTGACCAATCGTTTTCCTTTTACTTTTCGAGACAGCCAGTGGTAGGGAAACTTTAAGGGGAGTTTAAAAAAAAGTGTTCGCAAACTTTTTCAGTTATTCTATATACATATATATATATATATATATATATATATATATATATATATATATATATATATAAAATGAAGTAACCCCATGTTAGCGAGTGGTATGTTGCTCTCATCAATCAGATCGCCGCATTAGAGTATGTATCTTGCACCAGTCAGATTGCCGCATTAGGTATCGCACATATCAGATTGTCGCATTAGGGTATGTATCTCGCATTAATCATATCATAGAATTTGGATATCTTGTTCCAATCCCAGCGTTTGGGTATTCTTTTCTTGTAAATGATCTCATGGAATCAGGGGGCCGTACAAAAAGAGTGACGTTCACCAGAAACTTTGGGCTTGTTTGAAACTGTAATGGTTGTCGCCTTCGCTAGAGCCTCGTCTATTGAGGTCGAGATTCGGTCGAGGTTCGCATTAATTTTATTCTGTTATTTTTAAGTTAAACGTGTTTTTGCGCTCCTTTTCTCACAACGTACACGCCAAACAACTTCCGATCAGAACATACCCAATTGTTGCACTACATTTGGCAATTTTTCAAGAGCTTGAATTTTATTCAACCAATCAAATTCCATTTTGCCACACCAGACTTCGCTCCATCACATGGTATTTTATGGTAGACAACCTGCATTTTATCACGTATTCTAACAGCATTATCCAACCCCATTGAAAAAAATTTACATAGAACTTACTACTACTGATAGTGAATTTTCAATGCAGTTCTCTCGCGTTTGGCCTTTTTCTAAAAATAATATTCACTTTCAGCTACCTTGGACTTACAATACAATACAATACAATAACCTTTATTTAACGAGGTCGAGATTTATCGGGATATGAAAGGTTCGCATTTTAATTTTTTAAGTTAAACGTTATTTTCGCTCCTTCACTAACAACGCACACGCCAAGTAACTTACATTCCATCACGTACCATGAAAACGAAGTCCAAAGTCCAACCATAACATGAACAACCGTTGCACTACATGAACATTAGGCAATTTTCCACGTGCTTGAATTGCATTTTTCCTATAAACTCCATTTTGCCATAATAGAACTTTATCCTTCACATGACATTTCCTTATAAACAACCTGCATTTTATCACGTATTCTAATCGCATTGTCCTACCCCACTGAAAACATTTCACACGGAACTCAGTGCCACTAATAGTGAAATTTCCACGAAGTTCTTCCGCGTTTTGACTTTTTCTACGAATAAAATTTGCTTTAAGTGACCTTGGACTTAACCCAATCGCGTGTTTCTTATAAAACGATGTGCATCTTATCACGTATTTCACACACAGAGGGCAAAGGGAACAACCAATCGGGAGCCCTCTTTGAAATCTTATCCTTTTCCCTTGTTCAATATATCTTCACTTGTACGAGATCACAGTATATCTGTGGTTAGGGTCTAATAGAGGTACAGCAGAGTTTCAGTTTGCTTTTCATAATAAAATTACGTAGAATTATATTTTTGAGGTGAGTAAGTGTAGAAAAATAATTTTGATTTTCTCTGTAAGAGGAACGGCAGTAAGCGTAGTCTCCTTCGCAACCGCTATTTGGTTTCGTCACGCGACGTGCTCTCTCGCAAACGAGAAATAGAGGGCGTTGTGTCACGAGACCAAACAACGGCTGCCTGTAAGCTGGTTGTAATCCTGTCGCTCCGCAGTTTTCCCCTTCAGGGCCTGGATCTTTCGGATCTTCGGATTGCTATGAACCACCTTTCTTCCTCTTTTCCTCTCTTACTCTTTTCTTGTATTCAGCAAGCTTTTTGCCAGCTGCGACACGCCTAGGGCCTTTATTTGGTCCTGTCTTATTTCTATCAGTTGAAGTCACTTGTTGAGCTGGTGCTTCTTTAGTCCTAGGTTCTTAATCATCCATTTTACTTGTTGATATAAAATTAAAGTTCTTATTCAAGTACTTATTTAAGTTCTTATGGAAGTTCTTATTCAAGTACATGATAAGAACTTATGTATTCACTTTCTTCACAATTACTATCCGTTTCCTTATCCTTGATCAAGGGTACTTCAACAATTTTTGCAATGAGAAGAGCAGCACTTGCAATTGCCATGTACCTTCCCTACTTTAGCATCAATCCATTAGCAATCATTCCAAGTTCTCTCTTTACCATGAAGTTATCATTCAAGTCCTTCAGAAGATTTCCTTCGCCAACAGGAAGAAAATGAGCCAATCCTTTACATGAGAGCTGAAGAAATGTATCAATTGAAGACAAGAAGCTTCATATATCTTTAAGTACTTCTCAAAATCTTTTTTAGCAAGCTTCATGACTTGATCCTGATTGATAGATACACCAATCCTTTCCATTGTTTTACCACTTGCAACGAGAATAGCGAGTTGCTGATGATGTTCCACTACTATGCGGCCGGCCCCTTCGGGGCTTGAATCGCTTGCTGAACATCAGAATCAGCATCAAAACATCACTAAAAGCGCTTTTTTCCATGTCAATCATCTCCATTTTGTTTAAGAAATAGAATATTTTCAAGGAAGTTCGAAATCAATGCAATAAAGATGGCGAAGTGAGAAGATGAGATGTAAATACTTTTCACTCTTTAGCTTTGCCATCAATTGCTTCTGCTCATGTTCTTTCAACTCATTCTTCTAATCCGCGCAAATGATCTTCATAACTTTTGCAGATGGTGTGTACAAGAGAACTAATGCAGTAGTGTTCTCTCTGAGTGGTTTTGCAATGCTTGTCACCCGTTGCTTGAGGACCCAAACGCTGATTCCCTTATGTCTTGCGCTAAATGTCAAATCCATGAGTTCATTCCTCCTCTGCTTCACTCCTCTTGAAGCAGCGCAATCATCAAGAATCATCATTGTATTTGTTCC